TTTTACCTGAGGAAAAGCAAAAATTTACGTTTGGGGTGTTGATGACTCCACGATTTGGACTCATTTAGGGCATTATTTTAATAGATTTAGTGTCCTCAAATGCATATTTTGTGCCAATAAACTGATGTAAATCTTTGATCTTTCAGGTATTTGGATTGAGGAAGAAAGCATGGACACTAATGAGCAAAAAGGAACAAGGCAGTTGAAAGAATGAAGAAGAAAAGGCCTGATGATCACCTAACCCATTGAGCGAGTGGCCGAATGGCCATGATCTCGCCTAAAGTTCCAGTGTGCCAAGCCCTGAAGGAGAAAAACAAGTCTGTGATAGAAAAGACAGTCGACGTGTTGCCAAACGGTTTCGTGATGCAGTGTTTAGATCGCCCAAAGTTACAAAACTTGAAAATGCAGAAGGCCAAAGACAAATGGTGATGGAACTGACCAAAGGGCGGATCGCCAAGTGGATCGGTGATCCCGACTTATTGCGCGTAATTGTCCTTCGCAGCACAATTTTTGGCGACTCTAAATATATTTTTAAATTCTTTGTTTAGAATCAATTTTCATTTTGTATCAGTTTTATTTCGAATCAAGTTTTCATTTGAGAGTTTGGAGAAAATATTTTCCTTAGCTTTGAAGATTTCCATTTTTGAGAAATTGGAAGTGGGTCTTTGAGATTCTTCAACCTTAACCATTGTAAAGACGAAATTAATCTTACCCAGTTGATGGAGACACAATTTGGTAACGATTTCTATCTTTTTATGATGTCTGGCTAAAACTCCAATTCTTGGGGTGTGATTTTGGGCTGATTCAGCTGCTAGGTATTGTTAATTGATAGTTTAAAAGTGGTTTCAATCAATAATTGTGGTCTTATTTAAAGGGTTGTAGTAACAAATGCAACTCCACCTTCGTGTTTTTGGCTTGCTCGAGATAGAGGTTTTAAAACCAATATTACTGATTTGATGGTCTGTCGGTATTGAGTTGTCATGGGTTCAACTCGAGGGAGTAAATCCTAAACCATTTTCCACACATTCAGCTCGAGAGAGTGAATGGACTAAAGCGTAGGCTGTTCTTAATTGCTATTTATATGTGTTCGAGAGAAACCAATTTGATTTGGGGTAAATTGTTCGAGATAAAGTTTATCCTCACTAAAGTCTAGCTTATTCACTGATTTACAGTTATTTACTATCATTTGCATTTACAAATTTTTCTACCTTAGCCTATAATCCGATCACATCCAAAGAACCTATCTCTTTACTTGTTCCTTCGTGTTATTCAATGTTGTAGTTGATAATTACAATCAAAACCCCCATATTTGACACTTGTGTCATCCTTTAATTCGAACTATTCTTTTATTCGTGAATGCTTTTACCTATGATTGACTTGAACATATTTGTACTTAGCTCTTGAATCTTAAGCACATACCACTCCCTGTGGGATTCGACCCCAACTCACTTAGTTGGGTTATATTAGTGACTAACGATCGTTGGCACTTAGTACTGGAAAAAGTGTCATGATACGTGAAATCAGTATGGTAGTCCTTTATCCATGGATAGTCTTCATCCGTGAAGTCCCTCTTTCTGAAAAAAGCGCTTCCAAAAATAGCCGTTGAAGGTTTTAACTTCAGCTTCTACGCGCACAGCCGGAATGGCGCGTGAGACGCCGCCGGAGCTCCCCAGACCGCCGGACGAATTGCAACAGGGGCGCCTGAATGATAGCAACAAAACCCAGTTAGCCACTCTCTCTAATTCATCCCATAACTCCACGAAATTGCAAAACACAGATGCGATCAATACTGCGATTTCGGTTAAAGAGTTAGAAGGCACGCGAGAATTCATTTCCACAGGAGATAACACTTTGATTCGAGGAAAAGGGATTGGAAATATGGAATCTACTAATCTCGATCTACAACATAGCAAACAACCAAGTGATTCCACCGTTCCAATCGCCAGAAATCGAGAGGCGATTTCTGCGAGAATAGCGAACTCGTCGCCAGAAATGCGCCCTCAAATTCGAGCTACCTCTAGCCAAATTCGAGCAGATTCAGTCACTGGGGAGTACTCCCCTCGGGAGTACTCCCCTCATGATAAATCCCAGAAATTTCAAGCAAAATGGATGGTGGAATCGTCGCCGGTGAGAATTTCGGCGAAAATCAAATTCATGTCGTCGGAATATACGCAAAGGCTGGGAAAAGAAACTTATCCCCTCCAATGGACATTCATCCATCAGAGATTTCAAGCAATTTGGATGAAGGAAACACCAACAATAACCATTCAATTCAACCTGCTGAAGTAATGTTGAATATGAATAAGGAACCAGTCAAAGAGAGCAGGAAGTGGAACAAAATGACTCATTCCCAGTTGCATCTGTAGGACATAATGTTCATGTGGGAGCAATTGTTTCAACATCAACAAAAACAATGCAAGAGGAAAAGAATTCAATGCAGCAAATGAACTTACCTGAACAACAGGCAATCGATCAGATCGCAATGAAACAGGCTTCAGCAAACCTATCTGAAGAAGCTCAATCTTCAAATTTTTCATTTGGGGTTGCAGGTAATTCACTGAGCATAACTCCAATTTCCTTTCCTTGTGCATTGCAGGACTCATCAACACAGGACAGACCAACTGAGGAACCTGGCCATGATCATCAGCAAAGTAAGGAACAAACAAGTTCAGGGCAACAAACCAAAGGCAAAAAAGTGCTGTCAGGTAAATTAAATAAGGAAAACAATGCACAAATTGATGCTACAAACGCTGATGCTCATTTACACAATGGGGTAAATGAGCAAATCAGTAGAATTGTTGAATTGTCGGAACAGGTTCAAAAAGCCAAGGAGGGCCAAATGGAGCAGCATAAGGACATAAATCAACCGGGAGGAACTACTAGGCTCCAACAGGGCAATGACAGAGCTAACTTGGCCTATCAGAACAACTTCCTTAAGATCTCCAACAATTATACTAGATTTACAGGAACAGCAGGACAAAGGCAATACTGAGGAGGGTCACAACAGCAAAAGTGCAGGCCAAGAACTTCTTTCAATACAAGGGTCAGAGATAGATCCAACTTTATTAAACCCTCACAACAATATAAATATGCAAGAGAAACAGGCTGCTGCAACCACAAGTAACAAGATCCCAGGTATTGACTCAGTTCTCCCCATATCCCAACCCCCCTTTACTGAGCCTAGTGCGAATGTTGTAATTGCTGATGAAACCCTAAAAACCAAGATAAACCCTATAAACTAAAACCTTAAGATTAAAAAAACCCTAAACCCTAAACCTTAACTTGCAGGAAGGGGTTACCAAAGGGGGGAGTCTACCTCATGTTCTGCATGAGGAAATTCACCTCGACCATAGAACAGACTTTAGAGCTCCTGCTACCACTACTCTTATACAGAATAATCAGCACACCCCACAAATAAACAGACAAAAGGACAAAGGTGTTGAGGGAACAGGAAAGGGTGATCAGTCTCAAACTCAAGCGTCTGGTACTAAGCTGAAGGGTGCTGGTAATTTTCAGATTCAACAGGTATCAAGGGTTAATATATCTCAAGTCTCTCCTATTAATGAGAGTGCAGGAAACCACACTAACAACAGATCACAAGGCAAGCCAAGTAAGAAAACAAGGGAAGCTATGAAGAGAAAACAACAACAAGAGGCTGAAAGCAATGAAAAGAATTTTCAGGGTAAGAAGGTTACATGAAATCAGAATCAGAACCAGAGATCAGATTATGATGTCTTAAACTCTGAAGATGAATTTGATGAAGACAATTAGTCTCTCAATGCAGAGGAGGAAGATGAGACTACTGCTCACCTAATTAAGGCCTTTGGATCCACTTTCCAGAGTAAGTCTCAAGCAGAAATCCAAGCTATTGCTGATCAACAATGTCTATCACCTAGAGGGAGGAAACAAGTTAGGCAACAAACCAGACAGGCCTCTATAAGTACATGTGCTAACTCAAGCAGAACCATTACTAGGTCCAAAAGCAAAGGTTTTTAATGATTAAAGCCATGTGTTGGAATACTAGAAGTATCAATACCAAAGGATCACTGGAAAGGGTCCATAATCTCAAGAAAATTCATAACCTCTCTATGATTGAAATTCTTGAACCTTTTTCAGATAATTCCCATCTTAATAACTACAAATTTCAGCTCAATATGGACAATGCCTTCTCTAACCAAAATGGTAAGATTTGGTTTTTTTTTACTATTGACTACAACTGTACCATCTTAGAATCTGATGACCAACAAATGACCTATGAGATCAAACACACAGGGAACCCTGAGAAATTCATGATCACTTTTGTGTATGCTAAGTGTAAGGATGTGCTCATAAGGACTTTGTGGGAAAGATTCATTCACCTGTCCACTGTGAAAATTCCTTGGTGCACAATGGGTGATTTCAATGTGATCACTTCTATTGATGAAAAGAAGGGGGGAATACCTTACAACATGAACAAGAGCTTTGAATTCATCAGTGTGATTGAAGCTAGTGGGCTTATTGATCTAGGATACAGTGGTTCTCAATACACTTGGTGTAATAATAGGGCTGAAGAAGCAAGAGTGTGGAAGAGACTTGATAGAGCTATAGTTAATGATCACTGGCTAGAAAAGATGCCTCAGATAATTATAACACATTTACCCTCTGTAGGGTCTGATCACAATCCTTTGTTATTGGAAATGATTGACAAACAGGAGCACACTATCAAATACTTCAAGTTCCTACATCTTTGGGTGGAAAATGAAAACTTCATGAGCACTATCCAAAACTGCTGGGAAAAGGAAGTTACAGGGGATCCTATGTGGTGCTTGCATCAAAAAATGAAGAGGATGGTCTCCACTCTCAGTGCTTGGTCTAAAAGAGAATATGGGGACATATTTGCTACAGTTAAAGAGTTCGAAGAGAAGGTTAGAAATGCAGAGATAGATGTATTACATAATAATACTGCAGACAGTAGAACTAAGCTCCATTGTGTTAATGTTGGGTATATTAAATTTCTGTAAATGGAGGCTGCTATTCTTAAACAAAAGACTCAACTTCAGTGGTTCAGGGAAGGAGATGCCAATACAAAATATTTTCATGCTCTTATGAGAGGAAGAAGGAGAAAGTTATTCATCCACCAGATCAGTAATGAAAGTGGAGAATGGATACAGGGAGATGTTAATATTGCTGGAGCTGCCCTGTTAACACTTCCAAAATATTTTTACAGGCCACCAAGATAACATCAATGAGGAGATCCTTCAATGCATACCTAGACTGATCACTGATGAACAAAACCAGGCTCTAAAGGATGATCCTACTATTGAAGAAGTGAAACTGGTGGTTTTTGCCAGGAATCCTAATTCAGCAGCAGGACCGGATGGTACGAATGGAAAAATTTTCCAGGTGTGTTGGGACATCCTCAAAGAGGACCTCTACAGAGCAATGCTAGCCTTCTTCTGTGGTCACAATATGCCTAAATACATGACTCATACCTGTTTGGTTCTTCTTCCAAAGGTTGATCATCCCAACAAACTGTCTGGATTCAGGCCTATAAGCTTGAGCAATTTCTCAAATAAGATCATTTCCAAGCTCCTTAGTATCAGAATTGCACCTATCTTGTCAAACCGTATTTTAGAAAATCAGAGTGGCTTTGTAAGAGGTAGAAGCATTTCTGAAAACATTATGCTGGCTCAGGAGATCATTCATGGCATCAAGAAGCCCAAGGAGGGGGATAATGTAGTGATAAAGCTTGACATGGCCAAGGCCTATGATAGAGTGTCCTGGGCTTATACTTGTATGGTCATGAGGAAAATGGGCTTTAGTGAATTCTTCATTGATATGATATGGAGGATTATGAGCAACAATTGGTACTCGGTTATTATCAATGGAGCCATGCATGGATTTTTCCATTCTACAAGAGGTTTGAAACAGGGTGACCCTTTGTCACTAGCCCTATTTATTTTAGGAGCTGAAGTGTTGTCAAGGATGCTGAACAACATTTATTTGAACCAGAACTATCAAGGTTTCCATATGGAACCTAGAGGCCCTCAGATAAACCATCTTAGCTTTGCAGATGATGTTATTATATTTACCTCTGGCAAGAGACTTGATATTCAATTTATTATGAAGACCCTGACTACTTATGAACAAGTCTCTAATCAACTTATTAACAGAAGTTAATGATTCCTGTGGACTCTCCCCAAGACATTACTGATATGATTAACGAGGAAACTGGTTTTACACAGAAGGACAGTCCCATTAACTATCTGGGATGTCCTTTGTATATTGGAGGACAGAGAATCATCTATTACTCCCAGCTGGTGGATAAGGTGACTAAAAGGATCAGTGGGTGACAAGCTAGGTTGTTGAATTTTGGAGGTAGATTAATTCTAGTGAAACATGTTCTTCAGTCCATTCCCATTCACACCATGGCTGCTATTTCCCCTCCCAAAACCACTCTTCAATACATAAAAAGTTTAACTGCAGATTTCTTCTGGGGAAGGGAAAAAGATAAGAAAAAATATCATTGGGCTTCTTGGGAGAACATCACCTTTCCTTATGATGAAGGTGGTCTGGAAGTAAGACACCTAAAGGATATATGCACTTCTCTCCAGTATAAACAATGGTGGTAGTTTAGAAGTACTCACTCATTATGGGGACAATTCATCAAGGCCAAGTATTGCCAAAGAGCTAATCCAGTCGCCAAGAAGTGGGATACGGGTCAGTCATTGGTTTGGAAGTATATGAGCCAAAACAAACCCCTGGTAGAAGAGCACATCAATTGGAAGATACACTCAGGTACCTGCAGCTTCTGGTGGGATGATTGGCTAGGGGATGGTCCTCTTGCTCATCATACCAATAAAAGCACTAGACTTAACAACACTACGGTCTCGCAATTCATTCTTAATTGAGGGTGGAACGAGAATATGGTTAGACAACATGCACCCCCCTTGTTGATCCCAAAATTTTTGAAGGTACAGATTCAGTTTCAAGAAGGAGTTGCAGACCAACCAATATAGAAGCTTACCGATAATGGAAAATTCACTTGTGCCTCTGCATGGGAGAGTATCAGAAACAAGAGACCAAGAAGCAAGCTGCACAAATACATTTGGCATAGACACATTCCCTTCAAGGTCTCCTTTTTTTTATGGAGAGCTTTGAGAGGGAAACTCCCAACGAATGACAGAACATCTGCTTTTGGAGTAACTCATGCAAGGTGTTCTTGCTGCATCAAGTCGGGATGGGACACTATTGATCACATCTTTGCCATAGGACACTTTGCTAACCACATTTGGAAATTTCACTCAAATATGTTTGGTGTTAGGCAGGAAATGATCCCCCTGAAGAATCTGATCGCGAGATGGTGGACCATGGAATATAGAAATGATGTTCAGAAATTACTGTATTATGCAATACCTATCATCATCAGCTGGAACCTCTGGAAGAACAGGTACTCAGCTAAATATGGAGGGAAACAATCTAGCATCACAAGAGTCAAGTTCATGATCTTTAAAGACATCTCCCTCCTCATCAATACTGTCTTTCCCTATCTGTAATGGCCTAGCTCTTGGCAGGAACTTCTTAACTATGTCCAGCAATGCTCTCATGAAATAGGAGTCAGCCCTGTCATCTGGAGCAAACCACCGGTAAACTACTGTAAATTGAACACGGATGGTAGTGCATTAGTGAATCCTGGCATGATAGGTGGGGGAGGCATCCTTAGAGACCAGGCAGGGGATGTTATTTTTGCATTCACAGTACCTCTTGGTACAGGCACCAATAACCAGGCAGAAGTCCAAGCAGCTGTATTTGGTCTTAACTGGTGCTATCAACATGGCTACAGGAAGGTTGTGGTAGAAGTAGACTCAGAACTACTCACTCACTGGCTAAATCTCAATATTAATCCTCCATGGAAGATACAACAGTATGTTCAGGAACTACAAAACCTCAGTCAACAGATGGAAGCATTCCAATGCCTCCATACCTACAGAGAAGCCAACACCACGGCTAACTTTCTTGCCAAGTTGAGTCACCAGAAAGATATTCCTCAACTATTTTACACTCTCCACCAACTACCTATTCCGGTCAAAGGAAGCTACTTATTGGAGAAGATGGGTATGATCAATTTCAGAAGAAGGAAGTTGAAAAGGATTAAGAAACCACCTTGATCAAGGTTTCCCTCCCTTTTCAACTTGACTATGTCTAGAAGTAGGTATAGTTTTTTTGAATAGGATTTTTCTCTTTCGTTTGTAACGGGAGAGTCTCCCTTATTTATATTTTCCTAGTTTCCTTGTATTGAGAGGAGTCCTCTCCTTAGGTGCTTAGAACTAGGTTTCCTTTTTATAGCATGGGGATGAGTTGAATATCTTTAGTAGGAAATTCGACCCAAGAACCAACATAGGACCGGAGGTAAGGTTTTATGTCCCCCTACTTGTACTTATTTTGTTTTATTTATGTTAAGGCCTGGGGTGTTGCTAAGCCCCTGACCCCACCCAAGGGGTCATTTTTTTTAAAAAAAAAAAAAACTAGTAATTCCCCAAAAAGCTAGGGTTTGACTCCAAGTCATGGATTCCTTAAAAAAATGATTTTAATGATTTAATTACTTTATAATATGCTTGACTTGATAATCTATTATTGTTTTTATGTCGAAATCCCCAAGAATCCATTAAATCTCCATATTCCCAATTTATAACCTCGTGATGTGGGTGAATTGATGAAAGAAGGATATTATGAGATTATGCTTGTAGTAATTGAGCTATTTGAATTATGTTATTATCCATGTCTAATGTAGTAATTCTAGATGTGTTTATTTGATATGACCTTTGACCTTTGAAAAGGAAAGATATGATATTATGCATGATTTATGAAGGTTATGTATGTGCTTAAAGAACACTTTGAGAGTGAAGTGTCCATGATTATGATAATGTCGTTGTGTTGATTGAAAGGCTATTCTCATGAACACATAATGAACATAGTGTGAAAGGTTTTCTCACAATATGATGATTCTAAGGTGGAAAGGCTATCCTTACCTAATTTAATCTAATGTTATATGTAGGCATGGACGGTGAAAGGTTATTCTCACGCATGATCTAATGAGCTATGTTAATGAAACAAGCAATGACTTAATAAGTAGTCGGGGGATAAACGCTTAGCACTGAGTGGATATTGAATATGAGATTGAAACTGCCAGTGTGAAAGGCTGGGTTCTAGAAGCAATCTCTTGAGATGGAAGCTCCCCCGTGAGAAAGGCCGGGTTTCTGGTAACAATCTCCTTATCCCATAAACAATGCGCCTTCATAGGTCTTTTAGCTAGTGGATCCACCTAAAGGTAACAAATGATGATCTTACCTTAGGCAAGTAGGACAACCCTTTTCGGTGTGGGTAACACCATATTCCATGTTAAGCTCACATGGTGTATGTCGGTTAAGGCTTATTCCCACTATGACAACAATATGAACAAGGATATGAATTATGAACTATGGTTGCTCAAGAATCTTTACTTAGCATGGGTGCTATTACGGGATCTTATTCATGCATTGCACAAGTAGGCTTTTAGGGTACTTATTGTATGTTTTTCCTGTGATATGATGATCTATGTAATGAACATGCTTATGACTTATGTTTTTCCATTATCTTCAAAATAATGCATTAACTTAGTAAATCTCATGCATTCAACTAACATGTCCCTTTTTGCATATTTTAAAGGTTTTTATGCATGGTGTCACGACCCAAGCCTAGGGCCTAGACGTGACATGGCGAATGAGGAACCCGAAGGAACCCCAAACAAGCCTCTTAAACTTGTCATCACACTTCATCGGTCGCGGAAGTACATTCAACATTAATTAACGGGAAATAGGGACTAAGGGCAAATCATTTCAAAATGACATCATAGAATAAGAGTCAAGCTCATTTACAAAATACTTGTCCAACGCACACCTCTACATACA